AAGTGTGCTAAGAAAATATTCCACACACCATTACACCACCACTCACGTTGATACAAATCTGGATGGATCCATGCTTTCATATTGTTAGTGCCAAATTTTGACGCTGCCATGACTGTTGCAGCTGATATTGAAACTAATTAGTCCAGGCATGTTTCTTTTTCTTCCTCCATTGTCTTCTATTGTCTAACTTTGGTGAGCCTTTAAGAAATGTAAAGAAGAAGGGGCTTGGATTATCTCAGAAAATAAATGCAGTTTATGAACAATTTTTGGTGCTCGTTTGTTGGAGGTTGCAAGATAACCTTGGAGATATAAAAAATTCTACTTTTGATGTATGTAAGTTCCAGTTTTTAGTTATAAAAGGACACAGACACACAGAAGGAGTCCAGAGGCACGTTTGTGCTTGAGAATAGTACATCTGTTGTTGGACACTGTTAAAGGCCAACAGTTTGTGCTTGGTTACAGTCGTTCACACAGCCAATATTTACACAGAGTTATAGAATATACAACATTACAGCCATGTTACAAAGCAGTTTACATTCATATTTGATAAAGGTCGAGTAGCATCTGTGGCCTTCTGTCACAAACTGGCACAATATAACCTGTAAGGAGCTAAATATCTGTTCAACTCTTTTCTTATAAGACAAGCAAACAAACAAACAGAAAAGACAGCCCATTTAATCACCAGAAGCATTTAAAGCAGAGGTTTATGAAAGTATTTCATTTTTAATTTGTTTAAATTTGGCCTTTGAAACTCAGTGAAAGGGAAAAGTCATATAATTTTTTTTTTTTAAGCAGTACAAAAGAAAAATATTTTTGCCCAAGATAACAGTTAATGGAACAATAATGTTGGCAAAAAACCCGAAAACACATTGAAGAAGTAAACCATGACTCCCGTAGTGAATTTTGTTTGAAGACATTATGTTCTAACAGAAAACTCCCTATTGGCAGGTTAAATCTATTCATATCTTATTTTTGGATTAATTTCAAAGGAATTTTTAAGCTATGGTACCATGGTATTTGCCACATCTACAGTTTTTTCCACTGATGGTTTTATTGTATTTTTTCATAGAAACAGTTGTGGAGACTTTGGACCATTTGAAAAACTAATAGACAGTGTTTAGAATTCATATGAGTCAAAAGACTTACATCTCATGAATTGAGAACTCTGGAGAAAATGGAAACAATTGGAAACAATTGGCCCATCTCCTTTTGTATCTTTCTAGCAATGTTAATAACATCCAGGCTTACCTTTATTAAGATACTCTGTTTGGTCTTAGTTGGTCATTTGAGGAAGATAAATCAGGAGTCCAATACTGTAGCAGAAGAGGCTTAGTGGACATGTAACTTTATTGGTCCAGACGCTGTTGTGGAATAACTAAGAGTTTTAAGAAATTTCATGAAGTTGTTGCAACAGTGATATCCTGCTAAATTACCACGCTCAAGTTCAGTGAACCCTTCAGAACAACTGACGAATGTTTTTAAAGGCAGACTGCATGGCTAGGTGCTTGCTTTTATACATATGTGAGCAATGGGACTGAATGAAACAGCTGATTTCATTGGGTAATAAAGTAGGGGCAAGTTTTATTATTCTTCAGTTCATCTTTTAATGTTGTTCACTGGGAAATAAAGACAGATGGTATCAGAATAGGCCCAAGCTAGACCATGACACTGACCTGGAAATGTGTGTTTAGGTTCTCGATCATCCAAGTAATGCTAATCTTATGAGCTTAAATAAAGAATGCAACTTAAAGAAGTCCAATTGCCTTCATTTTTAAAGATTCTAAGGTCTGAACTGAATAAGCAAAAGACAGATAGATGGCTAGATGGATGAGATATAGCTACATTTGTGGAATTTAAAAAATGTCTAGCTATAATTGGAAGATTTATATTGGGAGGATGCATAAGTCCACGTAAAATCTTCAGGAAATGATGCGTATTTCATAATGGAATATAGTGGTTAGCCATTTGTTTAAAATTTTCAACATGCTGAGTAATATATTGGAATCAGTGGGAGTTCCTCAGACTCAGAAAGGGCAAAAGTTAGCTTTTCAATATATTTAACATTGTGAGGGTGTTGTTTAAACCCAACCTTTTAAAATGCCTCCAAAGGAGGGGTAAAGGTTGGTTAAAAAATTTGAATAATGTGTTAACTTGAAAGTTACAATTACCAAAATTACAAAAAGGAATACAATCAGTGAGTTGTAAAAAGTGATTTATGGTTGCTTTTCTTCTTTTTGCGTTTCCTCTGCCTTACATATCAGTGCAACCCTAAAAGTATTCTGATAATAATAAATGCTAATTCTCTGTTCATAACCCCGGCTTACCCAATAAAGTTTCCCAGTGGATTGCTCTGAGGATAATTTCTTTTGTTGGGAAAACTGTAATTGAGCATTACTTTGGATCTTATGACGAAATGTAGTTGCACTTAGCCAATTGTTAGCACTTTTTTAGGGCATGGCCAATGTTCTTACATATGTTGTTGAAAAACAAAACAAAACTAAATGGACATAACTGAAACTTATTTCAGGCATCCAACCAAATACCTCGTTGAAAAACATCCAATGACTTTGAGATGAGGGAGCAGTTCACCAAAACAAAGATGTTTCGGGGTAGCACTCTGTGGACAAGAGTGGATGTTGATGTTTACACATAGCTCATTTGGGGATCTGGGGAGTCTGAGCAAACCATGTATCTTCAACCTACCCTTCTGAACCGCTTTATATGTCCACGTAAGTATAATAGCAATGAAAATTCATCCCAACGACTTTAAGTCAGAAGTCTGTCATTTAAATAAAGCACATTATGGTTAAAACTTGCTACTGTTTACAAATATAATTAAATAATTGAGGTCATTTTTTAAAAATTAAATCTGTCATTTCTAAACTGTTAGTTTTGACACATAAATTTGCAGGCATAATTTTTTTGTTTTTGTGTCTAAGCACTTAGACTTATCAAAAGAACACTGACATATTTCATATACTTTTTGTACATTTCTAGCTGCTTAATGCATGCATTCATAGGAGGAAAAGAGACAGATGAGGAGCTGAAACGAGGACAGAGAGAAACCAGTTCAGTGGGAGGGAACAGAGGGATTGTGGGATTGCTGGTCGGGTGAAGCAGTGATGCAGCTCAGAGAGAAAGGATCCTCTAATCGAAGGATTTAAAGAGGCATAGATGTCAGGAACACCAAGGCTCAGCCCCCCCTCCAAAAAAAGGAGCTTATCTGCAGTTTTTGAAACAGAATGAAATTGTGTCTACTTTTGATTCGTTTTCTTTCACATCTCTATCTCTGATATGTATTCACCTTGTGCAGGTCGTTTTTCAATCAGCCAGCTGCACCAAATTGGTATGTTGATGAAACTCCTGCCAGGGGAAACCTGAGAGTTGGAATTACAATTAGGCAATTAAATTTTAGACTTAAAGAAACAACCTTTGGTAATAACAATTTGAACAAAGGAACTAATTAGTTCATAATTAACAGAAAATTAAGAGCAAACATTATGTGTGGAAACACATACGAAATGTTGATATTACTTGTGGGAAATATTCCTACCTTCCAAAAATAGTAAGTTTAGCCTTTTATTTATGTTACTTAACCCAGACCAGAAACACATTGATTCTTTTCTACAACAAGCTGTCAAGGCACATAGTGGGATACTTAAGGGCAAGAGAAAAGGGATAGTGCAAGACTGGATCAGCATGAGGGATGTGCTCATTATGCTTATTTATGCTTATTCATTATTTAGACATATCTTACTAACACTAAGCCCACCATATTAGGTCAACAGAAGCAGACCACCTGATTTGAATGTTGTCAATATAACAGGTGGCCATTATAAGTTGTCATATATATTGCCAGTAGTTGATTTCCCATTGAGAATACAAAGCATGCATGGTTACGGGATGTTTTTTTTAACTTAAACTTGGTAGTAGTTGGTAGTTGGTTTGGATTGGGGTCACATCACGTTCACACCATAAACGAACCGCTAAGGAGTTCTTTTGAAACCGTACTAAGTTAAAGTTTTTAACTCCATAAGTTAATTGCGAAGATTGTTTATTACTAAACCTTACCAAGAAGTTTAAAGGTTTTAACTTGTTTCAAAAGGTGCAACCTTTATGGAAAATGTGTGCGGTCTACATTCCCATAGAAACTGTGCTTCAAGTCCTGCCTTTCATAATTTCCTTACTACTTGGGAAGTGCTGAGTGTACACAGACAAGCTAGCATCTTCAGTGCAAACCACAGATAACCATCGTAATTTGCTGGGAACCAATGCCAAATGAGTTTTTTTGATGGAACACTAAATAGATATTTGCAACCAGTTTCATGTAGCGATAGGCAGCATCCACTCACCAACCCATCAGGGAACACAATTTTTTTCCTGGTGACCCCAAGGGGGGGGGCTGATCCAAAGGACTGTCTGATTGAGGCCCGATATTTTTAACTACCTGCTCTTCCCAACTGTTTCATCTTGCTGGAGGAACTTCCTGTCTATTCCTATGGCATAGGTCTTTGAAGGAAGGCACTGAAGCCGTTGATTGAATGAAGAGAAGATTTTTAACCATTAAAGTATATTATTTTAATCATGTTTAATTATAAACACCCTGCTACTTTCTACCTGGATAGAAGACGAATATGTTAGAAATGGATGGATGGTTACCAGATTCTGTGGAACTTTTGAACAACAACAGTTGAGTTTTAGGGAACTTAGCTGTGTGACCTGAATGAATCCCAGTACATAAGGAGCAGAGAGGGGAAACAGGGCCGACTGCAGTAAACAATTTGATTGGCAGTTTGGTGGGTCAAAGGAAGTCGAGTGGGACAAAGCATTGCAAGCAGTTCACTGGCATTTGGATGAAAGGGCATTATCATTGCAGTACATTCATTTTCTGACTTTATTGTGTATGCTTCTGCCCTTGGTTTTAATCAGCTGCGATTCTTTTTAGCTCATTTTGACTCCAGCAATGACAATTGTGTTATGATTTTCCATGTGTTTATTTGAACAGATGTTTAGAAAAAGCAATCTATTGCAGCTTTACTAGGTTCACTTAAGTGAAATTTTATTTATATTCCACCAGTGGAACCACAGTCTTCTCAAGATGCTCATTTTAAGCATGGAATATTAAAGACCACCTCCAGCAGACCAAGCAGTGGGTCGCCGTTTTCCCACAATTTCCAGATGGCTGAGATCAGTGTTTACTTCCAGTCAGACTGAAAACCAATGCTTGAAATGTTCAATGTAAAAAGATGTGGATTAGTTGTTCCTAGGATTTGGGAATTCTTGGGTTTAACCCTATTTAGGAAGGCCTGAACAAAGGTTAATGTTGTTGGAGCCTTTAGAATTAAAGTGAACTCAGTCTGCTGATAGCTCTGGATATTTTGGCTCTATGATGAATCGCAAGGACAGGTCAGGTGCTTGTTGATAGTGTAGAGGCATAATGTCTATCTAGGGAGTTGATGCAGGATTGCGTAGGCCAGCCTCTGCCTCTTGGAATGATGTAGCCCTATTCCCAGTGGTGTGGTAACACCAAACTCAAGGTGAATTGTGGCCTGACAAACAAAAGCTAGAGTGTAATGGAGTGCTAGAAAGAAGTTACTGTAACATCAGTAAGTAAGATATCAGGAGGGTCTATGACTTTGCTCACTTAAAGCCCATTTTATGTTTTGTCTTCATATAAAAGAGAAGTTGAATCATTTAGCTCTGGTTTGTCCTTCATCAGGCTAATCCAGAGTCTATGAGGCAATCTCAGCTGTAAGGCTTTCAAATTTGTAATTTGAATTTAATTTGAAAACTTTTTTAAATGTACAGATGTGGTACCTCTTGGTGAGGTTTCATGTGACTTTATGGTGAACACAGCATTACATTTAGCCTAAGCCACCATTTGGTTGAAGTTTGGTAGTTTTGTTTGGTTGGAATCCAAAGCTACAAAATCTAAGTAGATACAGGGTAAATTTGGTAAATGATTTCAATTTTCATTTCCAGAAGCTTCCATCTTTTTTAATGTCTGTGGACTGGAACTCATCCCAGATGGCATGACTTCATAGGCAAGGTATAGCTACAGTCTGCAAATGAGGACTTTGTGAGAACAGAAAGACAGGGAGGGTTCAGTTAGCTGATTTGTGCACAGAAATATGAATTAATAGACTACTAGTCATGACTAGTTCACAAACTGCCGTAAGACTGTGTTTGGAAGGGTTGACAAGATTTCTCACAAAACATTCAGTGGCGCTATGAACTCAGGAATCAAGATCATATTTTAACAGTATAAGTGACAAGATGAGCTTCTTTTAAAAAAGAAATTCATGGTGGAGGGCAAACGTAGTGCCCTAAATCCATGTAAAAGTCTATGAATAAACTATTCACTTGTGGAAGTTATTTGGAATTCAAAGCATCCATTAAAGTTATTGAAAAATGGCATATCTACCTAATGAGTTTTGCTTTAATGTAGCCAATCATATTTTAATGATATTTCTTCCATCTGTAATTGAGTTTCAATAAAAAAGACTTGGTAGACTGAGCAAAGATGAATAAAATAAGATTAATATTAGAAGCGTAAAATAACGACCTGGTCTTTGTGTCTGTATAACTGGAAAAATTGCAATGTGATAAATTTATGGCTTCAGTAAGGTGATAAAGTGATCAAAGAAAAGGAAGTAAATCACTCAAGTTTTCATTTTATTCAAACATTCGTGTGTTAGCTTGAAAGTAGGGATCCTTTCTCTGATGTTTCTTTCTAAATTGGATACAGTTCATTTGAAATACCTTGTTTTTTATGTTGCCTCATTATCCCACATTTAACTCTTGTCTTTTTCTCCTACTGATCCTTTTATCACAGTTACAGCTTCGGCCCTTGTCTCAGATTCCCTTGCTCTCTATTCTCCGCCAATTAAAAAAAATTAAAAATAGCAACAAAGCATCTACCTTCTAATATGAATAATTTGACCACATCTACTTCTTGCCCACCTCTGTGTTTTCTGTTTTGCATTCCTCCAATCTGGCTTATTTTCAGATAATCCACAGCAAATGCACATTTTCATAACAGTGTTTGAAATTTCTCAAGCTTGCATCATGCATCCAAATTGTATCCCCCCCAGCTTTTCTTTTAATCGATTTAACAGTGGCCTAAAAATTCATACGCTTTCTGTAAGAGAGCACATTTGTAAACCACTGTGAATTATATTTTTGAGTTACATGTTTCATCTGTGGATTGAAGATGGAGAAAAAGCCCTGTGCTGACTAGATTTTAAACTCCATTTCTTTTGGTAATTTTTTTTTTGTCCATAAAAATGTGCCTACTTAATCTGTTCTCCATACAGGCCTGCCCGCTTTTTTTAAGTGTCACAGATCCTTCAAACACAATTTCACCCTCAAAGCATGTCTTTACAGTGTGGGAATTTTCCATCACAGCAAGGTCATGTCCTCAGAAAGATGCAGTTTCAGTTGTTTAAGAAGACTTTGAGTCATTCAGCAGCTCCTCATCGTTTCTCCTGTCATTCTTCCTCTTCTAATCCCCAATCATCCCCGCCTTCTCCTCTATATTTGGGCTCTTTAATCCCCCCCATTGGCTCCCTCTCACTCGTGCCGTTTCTATTTTCTCACACATCTTTAGGTCTTCTTTTCTTCTGTCTCCATGTGCAATCTTTTGTCCTCTGGGAGACAAAAGAATATTCTTTTCCTTCCTTTCTCTTCCATGTCTTCCTCTCCTCCATCCCTCTTCGGCATCTCACACATCAGTGGCGTTGAGGCATGTAGACACCACATCCTGCGTTTCAAGGACTATCTTCTTTGCCCTTCTGCCTCCCCCTCCTGCCCCTCCCCCAGCGGGATGAATGCTGTCCAGTCGGCCACCCCTTTCCCTCTCGCCGCCACTGCGACATTTAAAGACAGCGAGAAAGGCAGCGCGGTAGTTGCGGTTCATCCAGCCGTAAAGTAGTGGGTTTGCAAAGGTGGAGCACATGGCAATCACGTGGAAGACGGTGTAGAGCAGGCGGAAGTCCCGCATGTCCAGCACCGCGCTGTCAATATCGGTGGCCAGCTGGAAGGCGTGGAAGGGAAGCCAGCTCACGGCAAACACCACCACCATGGTCACCAGCATCTTGGTGGTTTTGCGGCGTCGGCGGTGGCGTTCGGAGGCGACGCTGCTGTTGACACCACTCTCTGCTGGACTGACATGACCACGCAATTTGGACCAGATGCGGGCGTAGGCAAAGGAAATGATGGACAGGGGGAGGAAATACTGCAGGATAAGCATGGAGATGCTGTAGATGGTGCCATCTGTGTTTGTCCCGGGCCATTTCTCCATACACGCCTATGACAGAGGACAGAATGGGATGTTTGGTTGAGTTTAGTCTGTGTTACATGAAGGTACACTTTAAATACCATGGTTAGGTTAGCCTCTTAATATCCCACAGGTCACTGGATTTAATTTTAGCCACATGGTTAAAAAGGCAAATCTCCAGAAACTAGAAGATGTAACATTAAAAATGAAGTCACATTTTGCCATTACAGTTTTTCTGCGCAATGTTTTTTTTTTTCTTTTCCCTTTGGGTATTCCCAATAGATGAGAAGTCCATACAAAATGGCAAGTCAATGTTTGCTCCAATCCAAAGGTAATCAAGATTATGTGATATATGATCAAAAGCTTTAGAAAAGTTACTAAAAAATTGGATTCTTTTGGCGACTAGATCAGAATTTTGACATAGTTTACATTTGATTGCAGTGACTGGAGAGGCTGGGATTATGAACAATAGGAATAAGGTGGGAAACAAGAGTTTGGAGAGGAATGGATGTAAGGAAAGAAAAGAAGGAAAGAAGGATGAGATAAAAGAGGAGGCAACGTGAGGGATGTGAGCAGCACCAGGAAGATCAAAGGGAAAGAATGAGGAGGGAAGTGAGGGGGCCGATCTGTACAAATATTTGATTCAGAAACATGGTGTTGTAGGTGTGTGACTGCATATACCTGTATGGTATGTCCAGGCTCCAGTGTGAAAGAGCCGTACTCTCTGAAGATGGCAAGAGGGCTAGCCAGGATGGCACTCAGCACCCATGTCAATGCTATCACTGTAAAACACACGTCCTTACGCATCCTGGTCTCCAGGTGGTACACGATACACCTGAAATGCAAATTGGTGCATACCAAATATTTATATAAACTTGAAATGTTCACATGAGGCGCACTTTATAGTTTCTTTTTCAACAGGTCAGGACACAGAAAACCACTGATATTATATCAGTTTCCTGATTTTTAGATTGCATTAGTTATTACCAGGAAGTTTTGTCACACTTTATTCAGAAAATCTTACTTTTCAGGGGGAACATTTGTAGCTATTTTTACAAGTTTTCAAAATCTGACAGTAACCTTCTGCATTCAAAAGTTGATCAATTCTCACCATATCCCCAACACAGCAGCCCCAAACGACAGTCTCCACTGTGTTTTACAGATGGCTCTAGACACTGACTGCTGCTCCTGACCTCCTCTGTTTTATAAAGATGATGATTTGAACCAAAAGCTTCAAATTCAGAATCATCACTCCATGAGACCTGTTGCCAGTAAATTTCAGTCATTTTTTTAATGTAATTTGGCATACCTCAGCTTTGTTCTTTCCCTTTTTCCCTTCCTTACAATAAACGAACAGTAGATGGATCAGCTGAAAGGCCAAATGGATCTCTCAGGCCTTTTGTCAGGATTTTCCCTATTTCTGAATTAATCAGTGCATTTACACAAACCTTTCATGGATTGAATGACCATGAAAAGAGGCCACAATAAATTGATTAGAAATATAAAAGATGGATTTAATCTCACCATAATGTCACCCATTAGTCAGTAAAGTCTCATTTTGAAGCTGGCCAAAGTGCAAGACCCAAGATAGAAAATTATGCAGCGACACTGCTCAGATAGAACAACGTCATCGTATAGCAATAAACACTTTTTGTGTGGTTGACACTACCTTAGAGTAGCGGTCCCCAACCCCCGGGACATGGACCGGTACAGGTCCTTGAGTCGTTTGGTACCAGGCCACGAGAGTTGAGGCTCGGGTGTAAAATTTATAGTTTTCAGGGTTTTTATCGTTATGTTTTTGATCGTTTTTATCGTTAACTCGGTTTCCCTTGGTCTTTTCCCGTGTGTTAAAAAGATATATATATTTTTTGTACCAGTTCTATTTTGTTGTATTTATCCGCGACACCTTAAAGTCCGTGAAAATTGTCGGACACAACAGAGGTTGGGGACCGCTGATATTAGAGGAAACTTAAAATGAAACCCCACAAAAGTAAGCATATATGTGAGTTTGGAAGTCATGCTGACTGTAATGTACAATCTGCGTAAACAAAGATGACAAAGAAAAATTCTCAGCAGGCTCATCTAGCAAGTAGCTAAAACATGCAACACCAACCCTAAACTGGGCGCATTGTTTGTGCAGTTTTTTTGTAGGCCAAGATCAAGTCCTTCTTTACAGCCAGAATCAATGCTGCAAATCTTTCCGTTTGTGGTCAAATCAGCAACACTCATGAACATAAAAAACACCCAACAAGCCAGTAGTGAAGGCCACTCACCAATTAATGTAAGCCGCATTGCAAAAAACTCATATTTCCAAATGTGTTTGTTTTCCTGGTTACAACTGAGGCTCTTTTCTAATCTACTGAATATGGAAGTCAATAAGAAACTCTTAACACTTAAGAAAAAACTTAAGGATAAAAGAATGAAACTCATTACTCTGACTCTCAAGTTTCTTGATCAAGCCTCCAGTGAGTACAGTGGTTTCACATACTCAGCACAAGTCTAGTGGGTCTCTGTGGTGATTTTGGCAGCCATCTGTTTATTGCTGCCCAGATTAAATTATAAAAAACTTCTGGTAAAACGTATTTTAGCTTTTACAATCCCTGCTGATAGAGAAAACAAAAACAGGGTGTAACATGAAATCATTATGGATGAAGTTTACAGCTGAGGCATCCTGACACTGAGGTTTTGTTTGGGCTTTGTGCTTTGGCACATCCAGCATGAAACATAATGAAAGTTACATTAAAGTTACAGCTTTAATGTAGCGTGGGTAGAAGAAAGAACTCTGTGGGCACATCACATTTAATTAAGTTTAATTAAATACTGCTGAAGCACAGAGCATGAACTCAGAAATTTCTCTTTGAACAATACTACATTAATTTACATGGTGAGTTAGTTTTAACTAAAGAAGGACGCCAGACACATTTGTACTTTCAGCAAATTTAACACCCTTATTCATACAGCCTTTAAATAAAGTTGGTCTAGTTGGTCATCATTCACCATGTAGAGGAAACGTTTTCTTTAACCCTTTAAGACCTACCATAGAACCAAGTCTGCCAGAGTTATCTTTATATTTTTACATGCTGCAGTGACATTTTTGGGAGCATTTCAAGTTGCTCCCAAGTATACATGAATACAACCATTATAGCCCAAACTTTAATAATATGTATGCGTTAAGTCTATAATAACTACATTAATTGCAACAAACTGCAATAAACTACAAAAAATTAAAAATCGTTTTTGTTTTTGTTTTTTTTTACATATATTTGTAGGTAAAGAAATTAAAGAGGTTTGTCCCACAAAACTGTAAATACAAAAAAGTTGCACAAAATAGTTTCTAACAACAGGAAATGTATTTTGAGTGTCTTCATAGTTTTGCTTTTGAGATACACCAATTTTTATATACTGCTGGAAAAATAAAAATAAATATTATAATGCAAATTTGCGGGAAAAAAAAAAGCATTTGCATCAAAATAAACTATTTCCGGCAATTTGAGTTCTAAGCATCCTAGAAACTATTCAGACAAGCATGAAGTCAAGCAACACCAGTGCAGGCTTATAAGGTCCCGAAGGTAAAAAAACAAAAAAACAACAACTACATTTTCCACAAAAATGACATCACTTCCGGTTTTGGCCAGGTCATGGTGGACACACTATAGTTCGCGCTGACGTCTATTCCAAAGTAGGAAGTGTTACGAACAGCTGATCGAATCGGCAAAGCGTGTTTCTGGAATATTATGTTTTTGTTGCTGCAAATGCTTTTTATGCTGTTTTTGCAAAGCTATATGTGGAAGGAAACTGTGACTTAGGACAAGCTGATGACATAAAATGTAAGTACAACTCCTCCAGTTTCATATACAAAAGAATTATTGTGCTATCTTAACTGGTTCCGGATCTACAGGGATTTAAAAATAGTTACACAAAACTGAGCGTACCCGCTCCGACCGGTTTTAAAGGGTTAAGGTAGCTATTTTCTGTCATATGTATATATATTGTTACTGGGGTGGAGGCTCATAGTCAAAGTTTGAAATAATGAGGTCAGAGTATGTACAAGTACTCCCTTATATGGTCATCTTAAGCGCACAAGGGGGCAGCCAATCACAGGTAACCTGGCTTTACGCAAACTAGTTCTCAGAAGATGAACTGAGGAGCTGCTAAGAGCTGCCAGGCCAAGTGTTTGATAAATCATGGAGAGCTACTCTTGCAGCTTGAATCTTTGCTAACAGGACCGTAGGGCTGTAGCAGGAGAGCAAAGTTTTAAAGCAATATCATATTCAAATCAGAAGAGTGGACACTAAAGTGCATCAAACAAGTCTGTAGACTGACTAAATGAGGTTGATTTGACTCTCTTGATGTTTTCTCAAAAAAACAAACAAAAGAAAAAAAAACAAAGAGCACAGATGCTTGGATCTTGAAAAGTGATCTTTTGTAAATTTGTTTGTCAGGAACCATCTGCCCAAAAAACAAATAAGCAAATGAAAATCTGCTTTACATGCAGAGGAGAGATTCGTTCGTCTGTTTGCAATCTTTGGACAGGTGGTGGAGAGAAAATAAGCATAATGGCCTGTTGCCTGTAGATACTGATGACAGCCACAGGAACATCCTAACATGTGTATACATATACACCACCACGTATAGCAAGATTGGTGCCACAGTTGCTCTTAATTAACAAGTGCTGGCCATTACCAAAAATAAATCAATCTATATTATAGTTTTTAGATGTCTGTAATGGTTTATCCACCAGTTCATGCAAGCAACATTTCAGTGCTTAACCCTTTACAGACAATGATTTCATGGTTCAGGCTTTAAAGAGTTAAAAGCCAGTCTGCAGGCTTATAGAGGTTAAAATGAATAATCTGTTGTTCATTCTAAAGTCACTGCATCACTGCACTTAACACCTACACTCCAACTGCCAAAACAGCAGGCAGCCAAAGTCTAATTGTGCCGTTAGCGGTGCAGTGGCGGTATGACAGAGTCAGAGAATCTTCACTGTAATCCTCTTTTCTCTGGGCCAGGTGTATTAAGGTGGAAATGGATTTTAGATTTGTCATTAATATGACGTCAGCTCACAGCGAGGAGGTGAAAATCTGCAGGGGAGCACAAACTGATTGCATTTTCACAAAAGATCTGAGAAACGTCATGTAGAAAACAGGATAGATGTGAAAATGTGAAGTTAATTGATTACGATGGCCATCAGAGCACGGTAATCTAGCTGTATCCTTTCCCTGAGAATAAGGGACAGTCAACGTGCAATAATAATCTCCAGCTACATACATCTGTATATATAGAGTATTGGTGGGGTTATCTCATTTCCACCCCATTCCCTTCTGAACGTTACCTCCAAATGAGGTGTACCTCGCTGTGGATGTTATATAACTTTTCATTCACTGGGATGATACTGCACTCTGTTTCAACCATTTGAAATGTAGTTCAGAGTGATTAAAAACAACAGCCCAAGATTTTCTAATTGGCAGTAAACCCAAAGTGCAAAGTGCAAAGAATGTTATTACTTAGTCATAAAGTACATTGATCTTCTTTGTTAAGTTTGACAGGTTTTATTTCTGTTTGCAGTATTTTATAAGGATTTAAATTCTTTTTGTGCTTGAAAACATTTGTTTGCAAACGTTTCCAAATTTCTCCTCTGCAAGTATTGAAAAGAACCTTTTGACAAACATAACTAAGCAACAGAAGAGCTGCTTTTGCCGAGCTGTGGATGAACTCCAACTCTTTGTTCTGTGCTGCAGCCTTGGTGAGTTCTGCATAGGATTACATGAACCAGTTCTCATTGTTCAGGGTCTCGTTGGCGTGGCCCTCCAGTTCACATAAGATGAACTCTGCAAGAGAACAAAGACCGCCTTCGCAGCTGCAGTCCAGGACGGTGGAGTTGGAGTTCATCTGAACGTGTGAAGCAGCTGAAGAAAACTGGATCTCCAAGATAAGTAAGTAATCTGGACAATGGGGAAAACAGGAACACGGTGCCATTCTAACACATGAAAAAAAAAAGAAATGGCTTAAATGAGCCATCAAACCTACTTGTGTGGAGGTGGATCTACTGACTAACCAGTACCAGTACCATGAATACCTATGGACTTTATGGATACCTACAGTACAGTAGGTATCCATAAAGTCAAACGAAGCATATAAGTATAGATTGAAAATCTGTTTACTGTCACGTCAGACCATACAAAGTAGAAAAAAAAAACTCTCTTTGACTTCTTCTTTTTGTTTGATGGACTTGCCTGTTTCCAACATTATGCACTGTCATCAATTGTCCACAGATACCCAAACCACAGATAATAGTGATAGAAACACAATTAGAATCCAATGTGCCCGTCTCTGGTTATGAAGCAGGTGAAACAGGTAGCTCACCAGGAAGATCGTGAATACAGATTACATTTTCTTAAAGTGTCACCCACCTGTGGCGGTCCAGTGCGATGACATTGAGCGTCACAGTGGAGACATGCACGGTGAGCCCCTGGGCGTAGGGCAGCAGGAAGCAAAGTGTGCTACCAAATTTCCACTCACCCTGCAGGGTGTAGACGAGGGTGAAGGGGAGGCACAGAGTGTTGACCAACAGGTCGGCTGGAGATAGACAAGAAGAAACATGTTTGGCTGTAAAAGTTCTCATGAATACATAACAGAAAACTTCCACTAAACTAAGTTATACAAATGCAACTTATGTTGCTGTCTGTGTGCCAGGAGGCACTGGAGGCAAAAGTTAAGCAAGTGTGTGCATTTTGCCTGCCTTGGATTTACTCTTGATAAAGTTGGATAGTTTAGCTTTTTCCCAACTTAAGGCACCAAATGCTATTTTCGGATCCAGCAGCATTCAATGTCTTAAGTTGTGGAATTTCATTAAGCATTGTCTGTTGGGCATATGGAGTCTTTTTTTTCATTATCGCTATCGCAGGGCATTGCTATACAGGTAAAAATGTTTCTGTTCACCGATTACTCACCCTAAAAATGTAATGCAGTGTTACCATTTAACTCATAAAGGCACAAATATAGTATGATTACGTCCCTTACTATCTTTCCCATTTTATTTTTGTGTTTTTATGTATATGAAGAAGAACATTGCTTTCTTCTTTTGTCTGCTTCTCATCACAAACACATTAAACTCATTCTATTTCTGAGGTTAATTTTCTCTGAAATTGCTGCAGAAATTCTACACCACCCACTAAACTCTCTCCTTTTGTATCTTCTCCACCATCATAGATAATTAACCGGGCATCCAGCCTTAACTGTCTCAGCTGTTTGTTTTTTTTTTAGTTTTTTTGTGTTGTTTAAAAAAGACACACTTCCCCTGCAACAAGAGGGCAAAGGATAGATGAAAAGAAAAGGGAAAAAATACATGAGCTAGAGCATGCACCCATGATGATATATAAAAGAAAATTCCCCTCTCGCCCCTGCGGATGGTCAATCCTTCAAGCTCGGGTCCTCTACCAGAGGCCTGGGAGCTTGAGGGTCCTGCGCAGTATCTTAGCTGTTCCTAGGACTGCGCTCTTCTGGACAGAGACCTCCAATGTTGTTCCTGGGATCTGCTGGAGCAACTCACCTAGCTTGGGAGTCACCGCACCTAGTGCTCTGACTAACACTGGGACCACTGTTACCATCAACCTCTACATCTTCTCAAGCTCTTCTCTGAGCCCTTGGTATTTCTCAAACTTTTCATGTTCCTTCTTCCTGATGTTGCTGTCATTTGGAACCGCTACATCGATCACTACAGGTGTTTTCTTCTATGAGTTGTTGTCCTGACTCGCCCTTGCCATAGCATGTGTGTTGTACCTTGTCAATCTTTAGCTGTGAGAGCAGTCCCTTCTTCTGAATGTTTGAACAATGAGCTAATAATTGTTTCGCCATCAATGTGGATTTTGGCTCTTGAAGATTCCATAGGTCCCTCATCCTATTCATGTAACACCTTCCGTTATTTGCGTAGTAGTATTCCAACAACGCCCTGTTTTCGTCTCTTGCCCACTGATGCCTTCTTGTTCCAGTAATCCATTTCTCATCGGGTTGACCTGGTTCCTCAACACCTGGCCCGGACCTTGTTGATCAAGGCTTCATATTTATCTCTCTCGCTCATGTCTGCGGTAGGCTTGCTTAGCATGGGGGATCTAGCCTTTAGGACCCTTACTGGAGACAGATGCCCCAGGCAGGAATCGAATCGAATTGCTCCGAAAGTGTGCAGTCTTTGACCTACCACACTTCGAAAAAGGTTCAGGCCAAGGTTTTGCATTTCATGCCTGCTTTCTTCTCATTAGCAATTTACTAGGAAACAAAAAATGCATATTAATTATTATTGTTTTCAAAAGATTTTTTAAATTTACTGTTTTACAAAACAACAACAACAACAACAACAACAACAACAACAACAACAACAACATCATCATCATCATAAACCCCACATGAACACCTGGGATATGTTGGCTTTCACGTTGGTTTATGGCTTCAGCTTTTTCCAAGTGTTTCATCTGTCCTGTTATTGTCCAAGTTCTCAAAATGTAGTCATTATCCCAAATACAGAAAAAAAATGGAAGGGTTGTTGTTTAATGCAGTGGTTTTATTTGTGATCCTGACTATACACAATACTTTTGTAACACTGAGATCAGCTTTCTTTTCTTTTTCTTTTTTCACTCAAACACAATCGGCTCATTCCATTAAAGATGCCACAATTTTTCAGTGTTACGGTTGATGTGAGCCCAACTGTTGCTTAAGATGCTTTGTTTTAATTGTAAATGTATGACTCTCATAACATCCAGTTTGTTACACATAAAGCCCTCTTGATGTAACATTTAGCCAAAATATTGACTTCAGACTACAACCAACTCAGACAAATGGCTCCACAAGCTTAAAAATGACTAGCAGGTGGAACAACTACATAACTGGGTCCAAGGTGTCAAGAAAGAAAGAAAGAAAAAGAAAAAAGTAAGGAACTTTGATTGTGTAGTTTACTTTACACCTCCATCACTTTGAGTTTTGACTCAAAAAAATCATATTGTGCTGTAGCTGTAGTCTCTTTTCAGCTCAGCAACTTTCTGACACCTGCTCCCTGCCTGTGACTCCATATCAGTGCTGGTGTGTGGATTCAAATGTCAAAATGAAAATCTTTGAAAAGAGTTTCTCCTGGTAAATTCACCTGCAAATATGGAAAATCGGTCCCTATATTTACTCTGCTTGTCCAAACCCCATGTGTAGAGGTCCTATGCTCCAAACATACCCTGACATCTCTCCCGATTTTGTCAACAATAAAGTCTCCAAAAACTGGTTTGATTATTTCCTTTGGTTTCTAAACAGGTTTGTGAATATTTATTCTGCAGCTAATTAAACTGTAGAAGTATGATATATGTATGATGCCTGTGTGTTTTAATTTGATGCTAAAGGTTATTTTTAAAAACATTTTCATGTGTTTTACCTGATGTATCTTTGCCTCTTATTTCTCCCTCTGGGTCTCTCTTTACGGTTCGAATCTACCACATTTTTACTGCACTGATGGCACCAAAAGCAGGTCATATCTATTAAACAACGTTCAAGTTTTTTCAGACTAATTAAAGGAAAAATGGCAACCGCAGTAAAAACTCTGCTGCTAATTCCTGTCCGATCTTGTGTTTTTCTTGCCTACTGTTGTTATATAACCATATAATCGTCTTTTTCCTCCTTTATCCTCAATGTTCCTTTATAATTGAATTTTTACATGTCATCAATGAGAGCAGAGAAGGCCGTGGGAGCACTGAGCTTCTCAGGATTCGTTGAGTCATGTGAGGATACACGCAGAGACAAAGCGACTTGTGAGCATCTGAGCCGCTGTCCCTGAAACATCAGACATGGAGAGACGCCATCTGCCCGGAGAGCTGCAGACGGACAGATTGTACACATGATCAGTACAATGATCAGTACAATCAGATTCAGTTCTCTATGTGTGAGCATCAGCGGGGGCAGCAGCTGGTGCCGAGGGGCAGTCAACATCTGTAGATTCATGTCTATCAGACACTGATGTTCTGCACATGCCTCAATTTTAATGGCAATACAAATGAAACCATGCAAAGAATTTAAAAAAAGCAAAAAACTGAAAGATTACTTTACTAATCCATGTGTAAAATAACCCCTTCTCACTTAATTTCCTTTCACTGCTCAGCTCTCACACAGTGGCTCAGCTAGAGTGGAGCGTGCTTCTGTCCTCTCAGTAAGTGAGGTAGACAGTAGACAGCGGTGAGGAGGGCTGTGCAAAACCAAAACACATACATATGCCTGACACCAGTAAACGAAGCGGCATTTGGCAGCAGTTTAAAGACGTTTTTGTCTTGTCTCGACTTTGTCTTGGTCTCGATACCCTCTGGTCTTGGTATTGTCTTGGTCTTGGTTTAGGCGGTCTTGACTACACGTCTACATATTACTTACCACACTTTGACCAGATGGTGATGCTGGCAAATTACATCCAAAAACTATATGTGTGCAATGGAAAGACACATAGCGAAAACAACACAAATATGGTCCATAGGTCCAGTTTAGGTAAATTGTAAATGGATTGGTTCTTATATAGCGCTTTTCTACTCTGAGCACTCAAGGCACTTTTCACAACTTGCCTCATGCACCCATTAACACAAGCACTATTTTCTACACTCCTATGTAAGTACTCCATCTAACATCCACACACATTCATACTCCAATGGATACACTAGAGAGCAACTTGGAGATAGTATCTTGCCCAAGGATATTTGGCATGCAGACTCCAGCAGAACCACCAACCTTCCGATTTGTAGTTGACCTGCTCTACAACCTGAGCTACAGCCACCCAAAGGTGAAGCCTAATAGACAGCTAGCAGATACAGACACCTGCATCAGGATATTGCTCAATCAAATCAGATTTCCCCATAACTCCAGTATCCAGAAAAAATATAGAGAGTTTTTATGAAGGAGGAAATTAGCTACAGTAATTACTTTTACTAGCTGTAAATTTGCTTATTTCTGCAATAAAGCTGGACATTTAAAAATGGGAGCCTATGGGGATTAACTCATTTTTTCAGCTTGTCTCAAGTTAACATTTGAGAAAGTGCAGCTTTCAGCACATCCACATTGGCTTTTATGTTACAGCCATGGGTTGGTGCTTGTGTTTGATACTGCAGTACTGCTGCCAATGTCCATTACACTAGAGTAAATCAGACTCCAAAAGGTTTGTGATCCCCTCCAGAAATAAGGTTTCTTTGAATTCAATAAATCCTGCTGCAATCCAAACAATCAAATCCTGACTGAATGCTTCCATCTGACTAAAGGCTAAATTCTGCAAAAGTCTGTATGTTTTTTAATTCCTCACCTGAAGGACTAACAGATAATCGACTCTGCACTGTTATTCTTGTTCCGACTGGACCACCTGCTCTCCTGACTGATTCTCTACCGGTGTTAGAGATAGCATAAACAACAGCTGCAGCTGTTTCAATCGAACCCTGTATTCGACATCTAATTAGATGTGACTGTTTTTTCTGGTACATGAAGCCCCCACAGGGACTGTCCCCGGAAGGAGGCCAAGGCTATTCTGCAAATCTCTGAACCATGTCAGTTTTTGATGATTAAATTTGTGATAAGGGCAT